ACAATTGTGTTTTTTCCAATTTTTGGCTCTGTCAGAACCACCGCAAGGTAATTTACGTAGTCCTGTGAAGTTTTGTTGAAATCGGTTGAAAAATGTAGGAAATCCGATCCAATATATAAACGTACACACACACACACACACACACACACACACAACCTGGGTTTTATAAGTATGATGATATATACATACATATATATATATATATATATGCATATAATATATATGCATAAAAAATACAGACGAAAATAACAGACCATATATAAACATAATATATATATATATATATATATATATTAAGAAATGGACGAGGTCCGATTTATATTTATATATTTTTTTATTTATGTTTAACGTTTGTTATTTTATAGATACAAAATGATAAACAGTATTAAATAACATTTACCGGCCTGAATGTCCGAAAATTAACATAGACCATATTCGAATAGACAGGATTAAACCTGCATCCTATACGGAACCGTATATATATATTATATATGAACCTTATGTATATATGGAAGATTGTATTTATAACATAAATTCGACCTTGTCTACCATATATATATATATATATGACGGTTATATATATAATATATATATATATATATGTATATATATATATATAAATATATATATATATATATATATATATATTATATATATATATATATATATATATATATATTATGTATATATATACATATATATCATATGTATATACATATATATATTATACATATATATATATATATATATATATATATATATATATATATATATATTATATATACATATACATTATATCGATATATATATATATATATATATATATATATATATATATATATAAATTTAGGAAAATCAGTCCACTACAATGGCTTCAACTTTTCCGTATTTTCAGGCGATTTCGGTCAATTGATTTCTTAACGCTAAAAAAAGAAGAAACAAACAAAAAAACAAAACCTTAAAACAATCATAGCAACATCTGTAACCTTTGTCAACAAGATAAATTAGCTAAAATAACATTTCTAGACCCCTCCCCCGCCAAAAAAAATGAATCAGTGATCGCAAATTGATGCCCGTTGTATACATACTAAAAAGTTCCTTTTTGTGTTCATTTGAAGTGGGATAAAAAGAACGTATGTATATTTCATTTACTCTTCATCCAGTACATTTCCACTATATTTCTTTTTTTACTCCTACTCCTCACCTTCTACCACAACTGACGTCGTCCGTTTCTTCATTTTTTAAAATTATAGCGTTCATAATTTTTTTATATATTTTTAAAAGAATAAAGCGCTAGGAAATCAATTGACCGAAATCGCCTGAAGATTCCGAAAGATTTTCTATACTTAAAAGCTCTACATGTTAAATATTTATATTTTTATATGTGTATTGAGCACTTTTTTAATACTATGGTTCCATAGTCTAATTCAACTCTGACCATTAACTTTTTATATCTATAAAACAGAAGATATGTTTATTTGTGCGTGTTTGCTAATTATACACGTTCATTTTCGATTAAATCAGACACACATGTTGCAAATTTACCAAATAAGGTCAAAACGAATTTTTCAATCTCCAGTCCCCACCCTGGATTTGGTATGAAAAATCGATAAATCTGAAAGTGGGTACGACATTTTTGCAAAAACCAAGGCAATGTTACATGGGAACAAAATTTTTACTGGATGAACTTATGTTCTTTGAAGTTACTGCAAAACTAATATATCTCATATTACGAGATTTATCTAGACTGCTGGATAGTTTTCTTGCGAAATTGTCGTCACAGAAAAACTTGCAAAAAACTGTGAAAAAATCGTTCTTTTTTACTATTAAAATAAAACTTGAATAACTTCCTCAATTGTTACACGATTTTCTTCAGACATCTCGCAAAAAATTTACCATCATGTAAGAAATAAGACAGTGGGATTTGAGTCCTGCTCGCATCCCCGCGTATAACGAAAAACCATGGAAAAAAGTTAAAAAAAAAAAAAAAAATTTTCGGCGGTAATCTCCTGGTTCTTTATCCGTTGCTTTCCAAATTTGGCATGTAATTATGTTTTATTTCCAAAACATGGTCAAGTTATTGTGTACATGTCATAGGTGATAATATTGGGTGTTTTTTTTTTTTAATAAGGCTTCCATTATTTTTAGCCATTTCTTTTACATATTTACAATGCTATTACATTCGTGTTTTGAAAATGAAACATCATATAAATACATACAGCAATCTATTTCTTGTTAACAGTTAATATATTTCACCCTTTCAGACACAATGACCTCTCCTGGCAGTGTAGCATCAACCAACTCTTTCCACTTCCTTGAGTCCTCCAGCTTGGTCATCTACCTTCTGTCAGTGACACCTTGCTCCGGGAAGACAATCCTTCGCAGGTCCGACAAGGATACATTAGCACTTCTCGAAGCTGCTGCCACAATCTCCAGGACCAAGTTATATCTGAAGATGTACCAGCCATTCTGATGCTCCTTCGGACAGGATGACAGTACATGGCACAGGTTTCCGTATGTACCACACAATAGGCAGGTATGTGACTCCTGCACTCCCTATCTCCTCAAATTTGCCGGTGATGCTGAAACATCATATGCTGCCTGAATGAGGAACTTTAAATGTCTTGAGCTGAGACGCCACCATTCAGACCAGCTGCTCTGCACACCAATACCATCTCAGTTGAGCCATCGACCCTGTTGAGCCTATTGGACAGACTGCACCAATCGTCTCTGTTCCTGTAACTTGCGTTACTCCTGCCCATAATAATGTTAGTCTGTTTTTGTTTGCATGGAAACACAACTATACTTAGACATGGAAACAATAAACAAAAACTAAAAATTCTTGAAGCTATATACATAAAACAGTTGAAATCTAACCTGAACAAAATAAATTATAAAATCTCCACAAATATTATTGAATGCCTATAATTGATAACAGAAGCCATTGATTTATACCAACGGCTTCCCATACTTAATACTTCTCGTTTTCACTCTTGCGTGGTCATCTGTGATGTCATGAGCTGCGGTGCGATTTTCGCTTCCAGCGTCTCGTACGCACGAGTTTCTCGTTGCTTGGAAATCTTCCATGCAAACAAAAACATACTATCATTATTGTTTTGTCCGTGTATTGGTTAATATATTGTAATGTATTTGTCATCTTTGATAATGGCTTATGTAAGCCGAAAGCTTAGATTGGATTAAAAAATATGTATCAATATGGTGATTTTCTTTCATCTTTTAATGATAATGTTATTAAGCTTATCAGACGATATGAAAAGAAGTTGCATAAAATAAATAGACAAAACTTGTCTAATGAAACATGCATATATATATATATATATATATATATATATATATATATATATATATATATATATATATATATATATATAATTTGCGCTTTATTGAAATATAAATCAAGCGATATATGTACAAATCAAAGTATATATATATATATATATATATATATATATATATATATATATATATTGATTTTCTCTTATCGTTGCATAGGATATACCGTATTTGACGGCATATAAGGCGCACTTTTTTACTAAAAATATCTTTAAAATTCCCCTGCGTCTTATATGCAATATGTAGGCTTACTACTTTTACTAATTACTAATTTTTTCTTGATTTGCCCTGCTGAAATTGGTGTGCGTCTTATACATCCATGCGTCTTATATGCCGTCAAATACGGTATTTATTTTTTTAAATTTTTTTTAGTAGTGCGGAGTCGCCAATAAGTATTCTTACTATTTTAACTAACTTACATTGTATGATATTATTTATTAGTTTTTCAAACGTTTTTAAAGTAGTTTTTTGTCGTCTGGGGTTGCAACTTTTTAAAAATCATTTCACTCCAAGCAAAGCCACTAAAACACAAGAGGTTACGGAGTGATTAAGAATATTAGAGAAAATAACATTGCTAAGGGGAGAGGACAATAAAAGAACAAGGTTTAAGAAGACAGATTGATTTAGCTTTTAAAATATTTACTGGGAAGCAAGAAACTAGAAGAGAGTTCCATGAGCGAGGAGTGGAACAGAAGAAACTATTAACATAGGACTTACGGTTATACTAGCCATTTCAACTGTGAATCTGGCACTGATTAACCTGGATTTTCCGATCATTCTGAAATTCCAGAGGATGGTAAACTCTGGATTCTGTACAACTCCTGTTGGGTTATGTTCACACCAATTTTCTGCGTGGGTGATGGAATGCGCGATATATTGACGAATGTGTATACTGAAAAGATTAATTATGTCGTTGCAAGTACTCCAGTGGCGCCAGTTAACCACATCCAGCTCTGGATGTTCTCCTACGATACAGGATTGTCTGTTGTTAATTTTCAGAACATTATTGATAGTTCCAGACTGGAAAACACTGCTCCTGGGCAGAAATATTATCCCTTTTAGGATCTGGATTGAGAATAGAGCATGATAGCCGCTGATAGTTAACAGTTTCAGGATTTGAAAATCCGTTCTTAATTCGTTTCCATTGAAAATGAATAACTGCTCTGGGGTAAGAAAGAATATAACGCATTTTTCATTTCATTAATTATTGCGAAAGGAACTAAGAATAACTAATTTCCAATGATCTTTAAATAAATTGATCCGCAAATTTGCATAGGTTCACCGAGTACTCATTTATTACTATTCTTAATTCGATTTTGTGATTAATGGCATTCATTGAGCCTTAGGAAAATTTAATAGCCATGCAAACGCATATATACATGTTTGTATGTATAAGCAATTAATGGATGTTTTTAATTCGACATAATTTTTATTACTCTAAACGTTATTTGGTCGGTACACGTTTTTGAATAGATATCTCTTTTTTTTTAATTTAATTTTTGTAGATGTACATTTCTTTAAAAAATGTAAATCAGTTTTGCTTTGTAATGACCTCCAAAACCGAATCAATAAAAGCACGTGTGGATGAATGAAAGCAGTGTTACATATTGCTTAATAAGACTTTTGATGATCTATGCGGGTAGAAGTTAATTTATACAAATTTTTATAAAGGGTAAAAAGAGAAAAAAGGGAAAAAAGGAAAATGAGAAAAAAGAGAAAATGAGAGAAAGGAAAAAGGAAAAAAGAGAAGAGATAAAAAAATAAAAAGAGAAAAAAAAAGAAAAAAAGAGAAAAGAGAAAAAAGAGAAAATGAGAAAAAGAGAAAATGAGATAAAAGAGAAAAATGAGAAAAAGATAAAAAGAGATAAAGAGAAAAAGAGATAAAAAGAAAAAGAGATAAAAAGAGAAAAAGAGAGAAAAAAGAAAAAGAGAAAAAGAGATAAAAGAGATAAAATAGAGAAAAGACATAAAAGAGAAAAAGAGATAAAAGAGATAAAAGAGAGAAAAAGAGATAAAAGAAAAAAGAGATAAAAGAGAGAAAAGAGAAAAAGAGAAAAAGAGATAAAAGAGAGAAAAGGAGAGAAAAAGAGATAAAAGAGAGAAAAAGAGAGAAAATGAGATAAAAGAGAGAAAAGGAGAGAAAAAGAGATAAAAGAGAGAAAAATAGAGAAAAAGACATAAAAGAGAGAAAAAGAGAAAATGAGAGAAAAGAGAGAAAAGATAAAAAAAAAAGAGAGAAAAAGAAAAAAGAGAGAAAAGAGAGAAAAAGAGATAAAGAGAAAAAAGAGAAAAAAGAGATAAAAGAGAAAAGAGAAAAAAGAGATAAAAGAGAAAAAGAGATAAAAGAGAGAAAAAGAGAAAAAGAGATAAAAGAGATAAAATAGAGAAAAAGACATAAAAGAGAGAAAAAGAGAGAAAAAGAGAGAAAAAGAGAGAAAAGAGATAAAAGAGAAAAAAGAAAAATAGAAAAGAGAGAAAAAGAGAGAAAAGGAGAAAAAAGAGAAAAGAGAAAAAGAGATAAAAAGAGAAAAGGAGAAAAAAAAAAAGAAAGAAAAAAGAGAGAAAAAGAGAGAAAAGGAGAGAAAAAGAGAGAAAAAGAGAGAAAAAGAGATAAAAGAGAGAAAAGGAGAGAAAAAGAGAGAAAAAGAGAGAAAAGAGATAAAAGAGAGAAAATAGAGAAAAAGACATAAAAGAGAGAAAAAGAGATACAAGAGAGAAAAGAGAGAAAAAGATATAAAAGAGAGAAAAAGAGAGAAAAGAGAGAAAAAGAGAGAAAAGAGATAAAAGAGAGAAAAGGAGAGAAAAAGAGAGAAAAAGAGAGAAAAGAGATAAAAGAGAGAAAATAGAGAAAAAGACATAAAAGAGAGAAAAAGAGAGAAAAAGAGAGAAAAGAGATAAAAGAGAAAAAGAGATAAAAGAGAGAAAATAGAGAAAAAGAGATAAAATAGAGAAAAAGACATAAAAGAGAAAAAAAGAGATACAAGAGAGAAAAGAGAGAAAAAGAGAGAAAAAGAGAGAAAAGGAGAGAAAAGAGAGAAAAGGAGAGAAAAAGAGATAAAAGAGAGAAAAAGAGAGAAAAGAGAGAAAAAGAGAGAAAATAGAGAAAAAAGAGAAAAAGAAAAAGTGATAAAAGAGATATAAGAGAGAAAAAGAGAAAAAAGAGAATAAGAGAGAATAAGAGATAAAAGGAAATGAAAGAGAGAAAAGAGAGAAAAAGAGAGAAAAGAGATAAAAGAGAAAAAAGATAAGAAAAGAAAAAGGGAGAAAAAAAGAGAGAAAAAGAGATAATGAGATAAAGAAGAAAAAGAGAAGAAAAGAAAAAAGAAAGAAAAAAGAACGTAATAAGAAATCTCCGGACCAATTCAAATTCCGATCAGTTCTATTCCGTTAACTTCGCGACATCGGAAAAAGCATGAATTCATCTTCCACCAGCTAGGTCTCAAATAGTAGTCCTGACTGGATTTTGCTTCCTTGGATGCCAGCCAGTCTAAGAGAAGGAAACCTTGTATTCAAATCTGAGGAGGATTATATGGAGATTACTTGGTACTCTGTACACAATTTCTCTCCTTCCAAAAAGTGTTGTTGGTTCCACACAAGTCTACACCACTATAATAAAATTATTTGCATAGGTAATATATAGGTTAATTTATAAAGTGAATTGTGGGATCCTCATATATTGTAATCGACGGTATATATACGTGGACACTGAGGTCAATAACGTGCGGTGACACTCCGGTTCATTCTTGAACGCAATCTTCATGAAATGGTCTCACTGATGTTCTCAGTCACTTTTTTTTATATTTATATACGCTCTATCCGCTACTGAGCAATTTTACCTATAAATATAGCATACCTTTATATATATATATATATATATATATATATATATATATATATATAAATATATACAAAATCTACAAACAATAACAATTTCATTTCAAGAGCCATCTCCCAAAAAGCTGTCTCAAATCAATCCCCTATTCTCTCTCACGTAGGGTTTGTACTATAGTGACTGATAAACACCCGCCTAGAAGAACTACATAAAACTCTAAAAAACGAGGCTACCCCACAACACTAAAAAAAAAAATGGTTTTAAACTCGCAAAAAAAAAAAAATTCTATAGACCAACTTAGAAATAAAAAAGAAACGTAACGTCGAACAAACTCTAGCATATGTCTCAACATAGAACAGAAACAATCCAAAATTATTCACATAAATTACAGAAAAACCCAAAAAATCTAGACCTACTTAGCAAGAATAATAAACTGAAAAATATACTGAAAATAGCCAAAATAATTAAATGCAAACGCCAATCTAAAAACATAAAACACGTATTAACCTCATCCAAATTTAACCAACACACAATACAGGGAATGCAACAAAAAGATCTGGGGTTTGTGACATCATTATGGAAGGAAACTCCTACACTTTTGAAAATCTTAAAACGACATTCATAATAAATAAAAACTTAAACTGCAACTCTAAAAATATGGTTTATGTACTTAAATGCACAAAATGCAAGAAGTCATATATAGGTATCAGTCAACAACTGAACAACAGGGTCTTCCTCCCCAAAAGTAACATAAAATTACCAGACAACAGAAAACATTTGTATCACAACATATCTTCAAATATAACCAGGGAAAATTTAATATTATGCCAATATATCAAACAGACAATTATTCTTACCAACAAATACAAGAAATTTAAACCAGAACTAAATAAATCATAACCCCACACGCAAAAGCACACAACATGCACACATAGTGACCAAATACAGGGATCAAACCACTCATATACATGCACGCATGCTCATATGTGGGTGTTTGTGGGGCACGAATGTGTATATATATACACACACACACATATTGACAAAAGCAGGAGAACTACTCACAGGCACGCACACAAACCACACACAACTTAGGAAGTATGTGTGTATGTGTGTACATATATATGTGTATATGTATGTGTGTAAGTATGTATACTGATTCCATGTACGTCTGTGTGTATGTGTATGTTGTGTGTTTGTGTATGCATGTGTGTATGTGTGTGTGGGTGTACAGATGTGTTCACTGATTCATCGTAGTGAGACAGTGTGTATGTATGGAGAGGGGATATACATATATATATATACGCATGCTGACAAAAGCACACGAAAATGGAAATAGATCTAAGAACACACAGGGGTCATTAAAAGATAAGCATGCCGATAACTACTCCATCATTTCTCGAACCAATCTTAATTGTTTTATAACCCTTCACGCAGAACTTTTCAATGCCAGTTCAAGAAAGACGTTTGGATCACTAACACAAAAAAGAGAATGTCTCATATCGAGAATATTTAACATCGAAAAACATAAAGAAAAATTTTTTTTATTAATATATGGAAATCTCCACCCTTTGCCTGATGACGGTCGAGAGACCAGAAACCCATGTAGCAAAATTATGGAAAAGAAAGCATAATATTTTTTTTTAAAATCGACATTACAACCAAAAACGTTTGCGGTTTCTCTCTTCTTTTTAATATACACACTTTTCTCTAGTTGGAACTACTATAACCCCTTCCTTATATATATATATATATATATATATATATATATATATATATATATATATATATATATATATATGTGTGTGTGTGTGTGTGTGTGTGTGTGTGTGTGTGTTTATTTATAAAAACTTAATGGATTTGAAGTAATAAAATATGTCGGATACAAAATTAATTCCTTTCTTTTAAAATTACTTTGTTTACACTTCGTATAAGAAGCTGAGCAGATATGGTTTTTGAGCTGAGCGATCAAATCATGCCGGATAAGATGACGTTTTCTTCAGTAAAAGGGGGAGTCGTTCGAATCTTACTAGAGGGCACATTTTCCTTATTCAGAGCTCGCAAGCTGGTAAATTAAGTTAAAAAAAAAAAAAAACAACGAAAAAGACAGGGTGTCTTATTAAATACGGGAATCCACTAAAAATAATGTTTGAATATTGTTGCAACCTAGAAAGCGTTACCGAATGAAATGAGGAAGAACCAAAATGAAGGTTGGAAATGAAATTGTAATCTTTATAACATCAGCAAAATACAATGCTCGCCAGCGGCGTTAAGTAGGTAAACCACTGCTAGTGGTGGACTATTTAGACAGCATATTACCCCTACTTACAATAGTGTCCAACATATTTATGAGGATTGGGACATACCCATTAATGTTCATAGTTGCGGTATGTAACAAATTCATACATATATATATATATATATATATATATATATATTATATATATATAATCAGATTTCTGATTAATCGGTTATATATATATATATATATATATATATATATATATATATATATATATATTGGTTTGAATTATTAGATAAAAAAATTTATATAACTTGTTTAACAAATAGCCCAATCATCAGATTCATAGTAGGAATAATTAACTACAAACATGCATACAACATAACACCCTTCATAATCCATAGCCCAAATAAGTAGTTTAAATACCTTACATATAAGATAACCCTTTATGAAGTCGTCAAAAAACAAACGTTACGAAAGTTTTTCTTTTTTTATATGCACAATTCCCTTTCATAATAAAATAAAATAAAATAAATAAATAAATCTCCATAGACAAGCAAACAAGACGATGGCCAATACATCTTCCGTTTCATTTTTGACACCCCCACCTTTTCCCGACTTGACACCTTGAAAGTATCTCTATACCGCTACTCAATATAAACACCCTAAACTCGCCTACCCAATTTAGACAATTCACCATAGCTGTTACCATGGGGATTTTGATTTCAATTTTTAAAACAAGTAAATTTCAGATATACGTTATTCCAACAAAAATTTCGCTTGAAGATGGAACGGAGCCCATTTTACTTTCAACTCAATTTAATTTAAAGGATTATATTGAAGTTTTCGGCTCTTGTTTTGAAACATGAGACCGCTTATGTAAAATTTGGAATCATATTTTTAAATAAATAATTATATATATATATATATATATATATATATATATATATATATATAATATATAAATAAAAAGAAAGAACAGTAAGATATATAATCCGGTGTTCTTATAGATATTTTTATTTTTACAAAATAGTGCTCAATGTAAATTTACAGAGCATTAATACTGATACATCAAAATAGAGGCATAATGAACACGCAAACACCCCTTGTCTGGTTGAATTGGATTTCTCTGTATCCTTGGAAACGTGAATTATGATTTTTGCTGTATTTAAAACCCAGAAATTTTAAAAGTTACTCCAAAATTCGCTTGAGGATGAAATGGAACTAATGTCTTTAATTTAATTACAAAATTAAATTCGGACCTTCCATTTTTGAAACATGGTCAGAACTGTGTAGCGGAAAACCATATTTTAATTCAATTAATTTATAATACATATATATATATATATATATATATATATATATATATATATATATATATATATATATATATATTGACACGATGGCCGTTTTTAGCGATGCGTTCATAAATATTCATGTAATCATAAACAATCATTTTAGTTTAAAAGGGTGGAAATGGCTCTTGCGTGGGTGAGTGAGTGCAAATTTCTGAGTCTTGACATTTCACGCATTAAAAAATAAATCGAGAGAGAAATGAAACGTACACAGAATTAATTCTTAATAAAATTGTCTAATTCGTTAAATTTCAATGTAACTCGCATAGTAATTAATGCGTTTTTTATAACTGGGAGAAAAATCCATTTGAATATATTCTTTAGAAAAAAAATCTTCTGGAGATAGAATAATGTTGAATGAGATTATATATATATATATATATATATATATATATATATATATATATTAGAACTTTATTAGAATTTTATGAAAATCTATGACAAAATGTAAAATATTATTCGTATGACGCTTTTTTGGTTTTTGATAAAAAGTGATGTTTACGCTGATGTGATTACACATGTGCATGAAATAGTAAGGACGACGAAATTTAACATTTAAATAAAACTTATATATATATATATATATATATATATATATATATATATATATATATATATATATATATATATGTATATATATATATATATATATATATATATATATATGTATATATATATATATATATATATATATATATATATATATATATATATATATATATATATATATATATATATATATATATATATATATATATATGGTGGCAGTGGTGAGAATTATAAATCTGTGTACGTTTCAGCAACCTACACGGCTTTTGCAGTTCCACGGAACGAACAATTATTTAGACAATTTATACCTGCACTTTATACTAAAAAAGAAATTTCGCACACAAGAATAATGCATTAAAACTCAACTCATGTATA